TGGGGGTAACCCTGCGATGGACTAGCATCCCATCCAGGGGGGAGTAGAAATATTTCTAGTCACTTCATGCTACAGAAACTGGGATAAGCTCCGGCCTGATGGGCCATTTGGCTCGTATGCAGACTTTACCTTACATTATAGAGTGAAGCCGTAGATGTTCGACTATGTTGCAAAGATTTTTGACTACTTTCGTAAGACTTTTAAAACTTTCAAATATTATCCCAAGGCCTTTTTATCATTTCGGAACATTTTCTGAGCATGTCTTCCTTAGTTTTCGAAAGACGTGAGGATGTTTCCAGGAAAGATGCAAAGTTTTTTTCAATCATATCGTAAACACATCTTATTTGAAACTCATTTTACCGAATCAATATATCAAATTTCATTAAAAGACATTAAATGACCATTTACCCTAAAATTCCGCAAATATCGGTCAGAATGTAAATGGTAAGACAATTTTGGCTCAACCGAACGGGAAGTTTTATAATTTTCAACAGAAATTTCCGACTGGAAAATGTGCTTATTACCATTTGCAATTCTTCGCCGCCATCTTGAAATATGATCAAATTGAACTTGTCCTAGTCTCTTTTGGTAAATTGGTTTTTTTTTTTTTTTGAGTAAATGCTAAATCGTCAATCGGAACGGACCTTACCATCAGGCATTTTTGCTTATCATTTGCGCAAACCGTTAACGAACCAGTTTCGCCGTTTAAATAGTAAACAGCCGAGAGCTATGAACTCATTTGCTTTTATCTTACTTCAAACCACAAATTTTGTTTCATTCTACAGGGGACCTTGGTACATCGGCCATTATTGGAAGCCTCGATTTCGGCAAATACTTGGGGAAGCTTATTTCTTTTTTAGACCCAGTCGTCCCGGATGCATTCCGCAGTGAGTTTGTACGGTGCTGGCATGCTAAGACTGACGGCTCGGCTGCATCTACATTCCACAACAACTGTGACGGAAGAGGACCTACAGTGACGATCATTAAGTCCGGTAGCTACATATTTGGTGGATATACGGATCTGTCTTGGCAAAGTGAGTA